GCAGGAAGCTTTTTGTTTGGACTGATTAAAAGCTGTTCCTCTGGTTACTAAGTGGATACCTGGGTCTGGCTCCAACATCAAAAACAGATATCCATTTACCAGTAGTTAATGTCTGGTGTATTTAAAAGTGAAGGTACATCTTCCATGATGCTCAAGGTATTCACAAATACTTTTTGACAAAAATACCTAAAATAAAGGTACATTAATATAGCAAAGGGCATCTGCACATTTCTTGATGGCATAGATATCAAGGCTTTTATTTAAGCAGTATTCAGGAAGGGAAATATTTATTTATTTATTTTATATACTGCAATTTAACAACTGTAAATACACCTTTACCTGTTCTGAAATTTAAGCAAGGCCTCTAGAAGATTAACTATAGCCTAAGACTTCACTGAAATTATATGCACATTGTATACAGTGAAGTAGGATTGCAACTATGTGATTTTCAACAGAACGGACTGTTGATATGATTGGAGTTTCCTTTATGATATCAGAAATATAATAAAGCATTACTAGATGAATGTTTACTAGCTAATATATATATATTGCGCATACACACAGAGACATATTTCATCTCGAAATGTATTTTGAAAATATTCCAGATCTTTCATATGATTTAACATAGTTATTTCGGTACTGCATAAAAATACCTCATCAGCCAGATACCAATGCCTACATACAAGCTCCAAGACTCATCCCCCCTCTGCAAACACAAACTCTAGTCTGCTTTTAAGCAAAATCCTCTGCACTCAGTGCCTTGATCTAGGGACCGCCTGTGAAAGAACGTTACTGTCAGTAAGAACAGAAACCTGTCAATTGTAGCCAGAACTGAACATGCAAGATGGGATTTTTGCTTCTCTGCAGAACAGGTTGCTGAACTCATTGCTTATCAGAACGGAAATCTTCCTGGGAAGCCTGTGTTAAGTGAAGCAAATCCAGCAAGACTCAAAAGCTGAAGCGTGTTGATGCTCAGCAGCAAATTCTATAGAACTTACACATCAGCTGGTCCCCACTAACAGCTTCAGCTCACGTATGCCACAGCCGTACTTTCCACAACAGTTTTTGCTGACTCCTATTCAAGTGTCCTTTCAAGAAAATCAGCTGTTACACCAATAAATTGTTGAGTTCAACATAAGCACAGGTATTTCCATCTTTCTTTTTTCTCCCAGCCTCTACACGTTCCAACATCCATTAAAAGAAACTACAGGAACAACTTTTATGAGACTCAGAACTTCGTTTTCATTCATATTATAGAGGCTGAATTTCTGCATGCTTCAGCTGAAAAGTGAAAGGTAATTTATTAGCTGCTTTCAATCTGGAAGCTAATGGAATCAGTTCTTCTGGTGAAGAAGGTTAACACCAAGCTCTTCTATACTATTCCTCTCTTCCTATATAGGAAGATTTTAAACCTTTTAATTTCATGTGAACAAGGTGGCAAAACCATTTTACACAGAAAATTAGTTTTGTAAGCAGATTTACATTTTCAGCACCATCTGCTCTCTTATATGATCTACTGCTTTAAACTAAGGGACTGCTCTCTTATATGATCTACTGCTTTAAACTAAGGGACTGAAATATTTCTCAGGACTGCACTGCTACAGTGAAATTCTGAAATTTGCAATAATCTGCTTGCATGCAAGTTGTTTTATTCCACGCCCATACAACATTTAGCCAGTTTTCCCAAAGCAAGTCACAAACATACTCTAACTTAAGTCAAACTTCAATTTTTTTTTTAAATTAAAAGTAAAATTGCATTTAGCAGAACTTGTCTTTCAGTAAAACATGAAATCTAAAGTCATTTTCTAGGACGATAACTATGTCCAAATGTATATGAAAACTTGAACAATTTCATGGGTAAAGCAGACACAAGTGAAAATTATAGTACAAAGTCATGCAAGAATTTGTGCCTGTGAAACTTGAGGTAAGTTGCAACATCACAGAAAAATGAACATATAAACTGATTATAATTAATGAAATTAAATTTAAGTTGAATGCTTTCATTATATATAAGAAATTTGATTTCCTTACTTTTTTTTAATACCACAAAAAAAAAAGATAAACGGGAAAGAACAGAAAGGACCATCAGCATAGTGCTAAAAATCAAAGTCTGATGCAATTCAGAGCAGGAACTAAGCAAGGAAATAAACTTTTATTATTAACTAGACAGTGTCTCTAACCAAGCCTGCTAGGGAAAACCTTACTTATTTAAATATTTGTGCTGCTTCTTGAAGTGTTCAACATAAGCACAGGTATTTTCACCTTTCTTTTTTCTCCCAGCCTCTACACATTCCAACACCCATTAAAAGACACTACAGGAACAACTTTTATGAGACTATCTCAGAACTTCGTTTTCATTCATATTATAGAGGCTGAATTTCTGCATGCTTTAGCTGTGGGACCAAAGTCCCACCACTAAAGCCATGAGGGATATCTATCTTCATTTGCCTTTCCCCCATCACTCCCGCTGAAAGATGATAACAAATCCCATTCATGGTGCCATTTCCATAGAAGTACTGGCACTTTGCATTAGAAGAGAACTTTGCAGCAAAGGGAAAAGGGAAGAGCAAAGAAGGGAAAAGGGGTCTCACTGGGCCCCAGCAGGACTTGCACCGCAGCATCGCCAGCCCTGACACTGACTTCTGTGCAACACAGAGTGCCAGCTGACTGCCCAGGCAGGTGGGATAGCCAACAGATAACAAAATTCTTCTCTGAGCCAGAAAAAAAATATTTATTTATTATTTCTAAATGAAGTAAGGTATCTTGTGGCAATGAAAATTCTAACAAAAACATCATCAGCAGTATGGTAATGACATTTTTCATGGTGGATGTTTAAAAGGCAACAAACTAAGGCCAAGCTACCCCTCTCCCCTGAACCCTTATAGTAACAGTGCAGTAGAAGTGACTTTAAGAGAAGAGTGCCTGCTAGCCTGCACCATCTGTGAACCTCCCCTAAATACTTTTTCTTTAGAAATTAAAATAAAAGCATAGGTAGGGCTTTTGTTTCTTAGATCAGCTAGAATCAACCTGTATTCTGAACATACAAAAGCAAAAAGTATTGGCTTCTCTCTAAAATACTTTAGCTACCCTACAAAGACACTGAGAATGTATTTAGATAATCTTTCAGGCAAGTCACATGAACTTATGGATTTGTAAAACACACTCTCCATATCATTGTGGAGTTTGGTAATGATATCTGAACCAATTGATAAGAACTACTTTGACCACAACACAAAATTGATTTGCTAGTACTCCTTGATTCAGTTCTTACACATTTAGCATCTACTAGCCCCCCTCTGATTTTGGTAACTGTATTATCTACTGGTCTTGAGCAACCAGAAGAAAAGAAGGAACTGCAGGGAAATAAGCACTGCCAAATTAATCATCTTTGCCAGGCACTGAATTTCATTTAAAAAAAAAAATTAAAAAATTACTGAAGCACAGAATAGAAAAATAGAGAAGTATCTTTCCTCTCAGCAGCCAAAAACCATTTCTGATTATCTCTTTTTTACCATAGAAATAATATCTCTAGGTGCAATTTCTATAGATCCTGAACTCTGGCTTGCTTCTACTTCCATGAACCCAAGCAGAATACTTACTAACTCCAGAGCTGCCGAAGTACACTTTGCAAAATCCTACTGAAAAGTCATTTTATTGTTAAACAAAAAAAATTAAGTTAGTACAAAAATGATCAATCATTGAATTGTAAATAATCCTACAAGAGATCTATATTATATCATCCCTCTCAAACCACTAAAGAGTTCTGACTTCCAAAAGCAATCCTTGGACTGGTATCAAAATTGGCTTGTTGATTGAACTATGCATACATGAAAGCAAAATTAGGATGAAAAGGATTTTGTGAAAACCAGCATCAGAGAAAACACTTTTCACATCCATTTAACACAAACTTGTCACAAGAGCGTAATTGCAAACAAAAATGTAATTTACCTATAACTACATCATGGCCATCAACCAGGCCTGCAGAGAACAGCTCCTGAGAAACGCCATCTGCTGTGTCTGTCCAAAAGGTGAAATGATAAGTATGAGAGCCCACAAAAACAACAAAAACTATCAGTCATCCAATGCAATTTAACAAAAATATATTTTAGTTCCAAAACACTCATGGAGGCAGGCTTGAACTCAGGATTATCTTTAATTAGAAGGAAAAAAGATAATTATCTTATCAGCCTCTGCACAGCAAATTGCATGAGGCGATGATTTGATTCGTTGCAAACCCCCTACAGACCTTTCCTGGCCACTACCATTTCTCCTCTATTATCTAACGACGTACTCCTACACAGTTTACAAATTCAGTATCTTCACAACCAAGAAAATAAACTATGTTTTGGTGGTGTTTTCACTGTTTTCTTTATCCCCTCCATTATTCTGCTTATCTAGACAGAGACGCGCTATATAGGCTTTCTTGTGTGTTACCAGTGGGGCAAAGGAGTTAAATGAACAGTCATTATTTTGAGCTTTAGGCTTAAAATAACTGTTAAGTACTGTGACCCAGGAAATTCAGAGCTTTGGATCAATTTTGCATCAATTGCTGTACCCGAGTGGGTTAATTCCTAAGTCCCTGTGACTAGTACTTGCTCCTGGATAAAGACTTTAGAAGGCTTACAGGAAACAGCAGGAACAAGCCTAAATTCCAGTTAAGTCTCAACTGTAATATGGCCTCAACACCAAGTATCTGCATGGAGCACATTCTTTGAGGTAGTTACCCAGTTGCATCATTTTCTCAAGAAACACACACAGGTGAAAAACAATATAGCTGAGCTAGCTGCAATTTCTGGACTGCTCTGAAGATAAAAATCACAGTCACCTTCTCGCTGCCTCAGTGACTGACTACTAGGAACAGTCCTGGTGTATTTTACCATGCTGTATCCTCTATTTTTTGACCAAGTATGAATTTTTGAATGGCTTATGTAACTGCTTAGAGAGTATTTAAGTAATTCTTTTCACAAATGACTAAACCAGGAAGCTCTGTGCCCAATTAAGTAAGAGATCTTTTTCGTTATTACCCATTGCAAGAATCAGTGAGAAATGTAGGTAGACAACAGAGTGTATATCCATGCACAGAACTACTGCACATAAAAGATTTACAGAGACACCTCTTCCAATCTGGATTCATTTTTAGGTGGAAGCTCTTTGAAGGCTATTCTAAATATAGTGAATACTAACTTCTGAGAAATATGAAATGTGTTCATAGTTCAAAGGGTTACTATGTAACAAGAATGATACCTTCTTGTTACTCAACGTACCAGCCTCCTGTGCATTTTATCCCAGTAATACTTTGTTTTCTTCAAACAGAAGTAAGTTTTAAGAGTTCTTACAACTCTTAGCACTGGAAAGCCAATACAGTTCTACAAGCATGCAGTAGAGTTTAAAGTTTCAGTGCCAGAATTTATTTCTGGTGATGATACCAAAGCTAGAGATGCAACTCAGCTTTCAGTGGAAGACAGCATTTGAAAAATGGTGTGCACTTCATACTTGTTAACAGAACTTCTTTTATTACAAAGGGGAAAGGAACTCATATTACCACCATCACCACATACACCTTTATGACTACTATATTCCGTTTCCTACAATGTTTTCCAAACGTGACAATGGAAATTCCAAAGCTGTAAATATTGCTATGCAAGATCTTATATACTGCATAGACCATTTCAATAAGACATGAAATTGATAAAGTATACAGTGGATCAAGTCTTCTAACATATACTATACATTATGCAACCTTGCCACTAGAATTTACATACATCTGCTATTCTTGCTCAAGTGAAGTTCAATTTAAAGCTTTGCACAGTAGGAAACATTCCAGAGAAATAGTCTGTATTAACCATAAGCAGTAATCAATTCCTGAAATACCTTTTTGAGCAATAAGAGAATAATCCAATTGAAGGAGCCTTACCTCTGCCCGGAGTAAACTCAAACCGTATGTCATTAAGTTCTTTCCTGGAGTTCCTGAAAAACATTCAGTGTATACGTTAAAATGTAATGAACAACAGAACAACTATTCAGTACCTACACCCAAAGAATACCTATGGCATTGACAACCGAATTTTTGTAGTGTGAATTTCCTCAGCTTGAAAAACACTGCTCTCCCAAAGCACCCAGACCGGAGAGACTCCACTGAATTTTCATGGCAGTATTTTGGGGAAAACTAACAGAAAGATATGCTTAAGCTGAAAAATGCCTTCGGTAACCTAAAGGATAAAATAAGGTCCTCTGATAAATATTTTCATCTTCAAAAGACACTCTGCCATACTGACTCTACTAGTTCAACATAGCCTGGATCGTATGTATTACTGCTTCTCCTCCAAGAGTAACAATTCACTTGGACTTAAAGCACCCTATCTGAGATCACATGTATACAGAGAAGCTCATTTAAAAGACAAAGTATCTAGAAACCGTTAAATGCTGAAAAGCAGTGTTTGATGCACAGTGTTTATAAAGCTGTTTTGTAATGAGTAACTTCTTTCACTGACCACCATTGTCTCAGCAATGAAGTTCTATCTACACATAAAATAAGCAGCAGATTGTGAAAGCCAAAGGTTTTCTGCCTTCCCGTTTGCCACGAAGAGTGCTTTAACCAGTTCAGCGTATGACACAGTCATAAGGGACTTAATACCTATGTTAAAGAATTCCTTTACAGTCTCATACTGTGCTCCAAACCTCCATTCCTTGCACGCTTCCAGCTTCAGTTTTAGTTAATAATTTCTACCATCAATAAAACATTAGCCTCTTCGCAAAATAGACGTCCATCTCATTTTTGGAAATGGCAAGCCGACTGAGCATAGGGGTGAACTTAATTGCTGTAGCACACTCTTTTTCCAATGAATAGCTCAATCCACTTGAAAAGCTAATAGCAACAGAATGTGTTTTGCAGCCCATTATTCTCCTCAGCAAGGAAACTGTATGCAAGCTCATATTTCAGCGTACCAGGCCATGAAGTCTTGCTGTGGGAAAACTAAATCCAATAGGCAGGCATACTCAGCTGTGACTTACAGCTATTATCACTTGCTAAATACTTATAAAAATATTAGGGTCAAAAAACAGCAACATGCAGGAACACAAAAACCAAAATGATTGGCAACACAGACAAAAGCAAGATAGCAAACCCTGAAAAATAAGTATGCCACATGCAGCGCTTAAAATGAAAAGTACTCATTTACTGAATATAGTGAATGCTTCAAAGCTGAAGGAGTTTCAGGCTCCCAAAATTCTACTCTAAGTAAAAAACTATGGGAGTTTAAGATCACTAATACAAAGCTGCAGATAATGCAGCCAGTCAGGTACAAATTTACGAGGCTCATTTACTTCTGTTGTAGAAACCTGCTGCCATTATATGGGATAGTACACTGTCTATTTGTATTCCACAGAGAATTAGTATGAATTTCAGTTCTTCCCCCCGCCCAAAAAACCTGGATGGCTGTTAAAAAAAAAAAAATCAACATATGGGTCATATATCTGAGTTCCCTTTTGACAATCCACTTCCCCTTGCTGAAATTTATTATATCTAATAAGCTTGTTAAAACCGCCACTTTTCAAAAAAAGGGAAGTTGCACAGAAATTAAGAATGCTAAAATATGTTTTGACTGAATGTGGGATGCAGCTCAGACTTAGATACTCATTTCCTGCATACACTTTTAAAGAAGCAAATCAAGGGAATAAAATCTTTCTCACACCTTTGCAGAGGTAAACCAGAAAGTTTTGCCTCTTATTAGCATCTATACTGAACTGCTCCAGCCTGCACATCATCTTCCACAGAGTCAAACACTAAAACCAGCTGAGAAGTAATTCTGTAGATTTTGCACTCTTACAGTTATCCGTCTAGAAACTAATACATTACACTCTCAGATTATATCTTTCCACAGACCTCCCATAGGTAGAGCATCCACCATATAACAAGGCACTAAGTAATTATGAACTCATGAAAATTACCAGCTTTCTAACAGACCGACACAGCTACGTGAAAGACCAGCTGCTCCTGATAAGACTCTTTTCTTGAGCAGGATGCAAACTGGGTGTATTTTACTTTGTCTCCAAATTGCAGAAGTGTCCCAAATAGAAAGTTAATGAGTCAAATCTATTTATTTAAGCGAAGGTGAAAATTCAAGGAAGGTTGATATGTATTCAGCCATCCAACTTTGCTATCTGGAATTGTTACGTTCTGAACTATATTGAACTTGGAACACTGCTGCTTTCTCTTTAATGGTACACTACTATTCAGGAAAGCAAAACAAAGGAAGTTTGGCAAGATTAATTTGCTAGAAGCCTGTAAGTGCTTTTGCTTACGGTTCCATTACCTTCCAGACGTTTATTGATTTCCATAAATTATTTATTCCATTATATATTCCACCAAACAGAAGATGCACTCAACTTCTCCCCTAAAAGCTGTTCATGCTCTTCTCCAGTCTTCACACACTTCTCTGGTTCTAGTCAGTGTCACTGTTACTGCAAATTAGTTTGCTACTTCCCTTGATACACTTTGGTGACAACTGTTTGGACTTGTTGATTTATTTGTAGGCAGAGTTTTCAAGCAGCGTTTCATTTGTTCCATTGGAGTTCTCTTTTTACTTACATTCGTTACACTCCTATCATGCAGCAGCACACACAGACTTTATTTCTGCTAAATAGAAATAGGATTTGAACAAAGGCACTTAGTATCTTTGTGATTAATAATTTTATCTTCTTCACCATTTCTTAATGGTCCCTAGTTTCTCTAATGCATTTGTGAAAAAGTCATTTCTATTTTAAAATGCAAACTCAGACCTTTTTGCCATCTCTTATAAAACCTCTTATTTGCTTCTTGCTCTGTGCCATTACAGACTAATATACCTTGATTATCATGGATAAAAACAGCCCATCTCTTAAAAAAATAATAAATTTTAAATACTTTTATGTATTTTAGCACACTGCAGTTTATTAATTTTCTGCAGGTTACTTTTCATTATGCAGTCACCTCCAATAGGAGGAATTCCACAGAACTGCTTTGAACAAGGGTGACACCAAAGCATGCCACGCCAAGACATTTTGGCAGCCATCTTTCTTGCAAAGTAATTTCAGAATTTAAAACTTTACACGTTATGAAAGCATACTTTGCACATCATTATTATTTTGTTTTCATCAGGTCTACTTGATGTGCACACTAAGATTGCTAGATCGGATTTTCTAGGGAATAATGCTTCCTCAAAGAGCCAAAAAAAAGCACACGGGCCAACTTCATCACTTCACCCTTTGCTCGTGAACTTAGACCATCCTGTCATTAGGATATGAAACAAAGATGCTCTGTTCTGAAGGAAGTGATTGGCAGAACAATGCTGATATTTACAATAATCAGGATTAGAGAATAAACAAATTATGCAGCAGTTCAGATTGACATGATTCTACTGAAAAAATCCTAAGACATGAAAGAGATTTTAGCCATTCACATTTAGAGACAAAGCCTTTCAGATAATTACCTAATGATAGCGTAATTCCTGCTACAGTCAATTAACTATGTTCCACACGCTTGATAAAAGACCTACATTGTTGATCTTCAAATAGGAAATCATGTTTGTGCAATGATGTAACTGTAAACTGGAGACATTAAATGTCATTATTTCTTTTGTCCTTAAACACATGATGTCTACATGTAAGTGAGATTCAAGAAAATTAGATTTCTTGGAATTAAACTTAAGGTCTAAACCATGCTGGGATAGGTTGATTATGTATCAAGCAGATGATCTTCATTCTTTTTTACTACTACTTTTTTTTTCCCAAAAAAATGTATTCACTACTTCTTATGCAGAGTTATCTGAAACACCAGCTTCTATTTCCCACAAGCTTCAGCATCTTCCATATAGCCCTTAGCGAGAGTCTCTATTCCTGGATGAGATCCATCTTACCACGGATAAGTAACTGTGTATCCTTCCTTCCCAAAAAAATTCTCAGATAAGGTAAGCCGAATGAAGGGTGTGTGCACGCGTGTAAGAACACACAGGTTTTGCCTCTGCATCGCTTGCTGAATTTTCAGACTTCAGCTACTCAATCATCACACGTGGTTTACAAAGACTGATATACGGAGCTGAGTGTCCAAGAATGCAGGTGATAACAGAATGGTAATCAACAAAGCTGACTTGTGAAACAGTACAGAGTACGCCTACATCGCATGGAAACTGCATCATTTATGGCTTTTAATTAGTTACAGCAGAAGCAAGATTCCCTGATTTTTTTCATTCTCTTGTTTCAAATGGAGTCAGAAACCATAAATCACAGGCACTCCCCCATCAGCACCTGTTCCATCATTATGTCCTGTAGACAGTGAGCACTGTCTAGACAACACTACAGGCACTGTAGACATCCATGCTTTCAATCAATGGTCACTTACTTCTGCTGGCATTTCACAAATACATCCCCTTCCATGAAACTTCATTTTTTTTTCTTAATCAAATGCTACTTTTAAATTCAACTGTTTAATCATCCTTTCCCTCCAATGGAAAACCAATCCAAAATCTTAGTTCTCATCATCCCCATTCTTGTCCACTTGCATATGTAAAAGTATATTGCTCTACACCAACATTATCCATCTTGGATGCTAACCATTCTTTTCATTAGGACATCATTTTTCCGTATTATGGTTATCCAGTCCTAACACAGCATAGGAATATTCTCTACTATTTCTATGGACTGATGAGTGGAAGCAGCAAAAGATAGAGCTCTCCTGGAGCAATGAGTATTCACTCTTATTAGCCCATTTCCTCACCACTGAACCTATTTTAATAGACTCCAACATACAGATGCTGCAGCTCTGGCCTGGGGCACATTCTACCTTCTCTTTCACTTATTCTTCCATAGTTCTGCATGATTAAAATTAAATATATGTATTTTACATATATATAGATATGAAAGAAGAGATATGTATCTATATCCATCTCTATATATATCTCTTCTATCTCTATAGATATATATATACACACACA